AGCCTAGCTAAGATCCCCAGAACAACTGTCATGCCAGCTCTTGCTCTTGCTCTGTGCTGGCACCCAGTCCACTGCTAGGAAAGTCTTGTCTGAGTTTTTTCCGTCCACTTATCCATGCAGGCTCTTTCATTCTAGGGAGACGCTCAAGCCAATGTTTGAATTTGCACCAGAGATGGTGTTGCTGCTGCTTATTTTTTTTATCTTCCGTTTCTACACCTTGGCTCTTTCATCCTTGAATTTAACTGAGAAGACTTGAAAAGCACCATTTAATTGGTTCTGCCTCCAAATGTCTGGCAAAGATTGAAGACATTTTTCCTTTTGCTCTTCAAGCCTCTTAGTGTTTCACTGCCCCAGGCAGAAGTTGGCATTATGCCAAAACCAAAGTCTGGCAAGCCCCAGTGGTGGGTTGAATGAGAATGGCATAGTCACCTAGGCAGCCTGCCAACCAAAATAGCACTGAGGGGTCCATTTCCCTTCTGCAGCAGGACCAGCAGCTACTGAGCCAGATGTGCAGCCTCGGGGAAGCTGACAGACTGCCTGGTTTAGAGCACGGCCACTGGAAAGTGGGTGAGGACCGGTACCTCCACCTTTCCTGACTAGCTGGCCTTTAACACCAACTTGTTAAGTGACCTCGAGTCAGTTCTGATTCAAATTGACCCTGTATAGGGTTTCCAAGGAGCAGTTGGAGAATTTGAACCACCAACCATGTAGTTTAAACCAACCTAGTGGTCCAGTGCTTTTATTATATGGTACCACAACTGGTATGCAGATGTGTAATTAAAACTAGATCTCTTACACGGTTTGTTCCCTGAAAGAGTACACATAGGCTATGCAAATGTGGCCTTTGCATTCTCTGAGTTGACAGTTATTACTGCAGTTATTTTGTGTTTCGACAGCATGGTGGCACATCAGGAATGGTGGGACCCACTTAGGATGGCCTCTCAGTCAGAGGGTGGCACTGACCAGGAGGGGAGCCTATATAGGAGGGGTCTCAGTGCTTCCCCTTCCTGCTGGAGGTCTTTTCTGCCTTCTCCACACCATCACATTGTTCTCTGCTCCTTGGCCAGAGGACGAATCACTAAGATGGCATTTCAATATCTGGATTAGAGCATTCAACATAAATCACGTTGTTGAGGACAACTGAAAAAGGGGAGGCGCAGCACCATTTGCCCCGTTTCTATTTTGGGTGAGGGCTTCTGTTCGGCTGCCCAAACAGCTCTTTTCCATGTGATGTGGAGGCCCTGGGTTTCAGCGTGCCTACACAGCCAGGACAAGTGTATCTGTAGGTCCCTCTGTGAGGCCCAGCATTTCCCTCGTCACCACTAGTCCAGATTACCAGAGTAATCCTGTAATTAAATAGGTGAGTAGTGTGTGTAGCGCTCTTGAAATAAACCTGTGGGTCGGGTCGTAAGTCCCTTTTTAAATCTTTAAAAGTTCTGAGCCTCCCTACAAAAATGGCCCTATCACCCCTTTCTGATGAGTCCATATAAACCAAATCAAAAGGTAACCTGATTTTTTAGCCCTTCAAAAAACAAGTGTTTAGTTCTTCAGGTAAGTGAAAGAGAGAGGTCTTTGAGAAATTGCAGCTTTAAGGTGGGGGAGGCCCTTTCTCAGAGGTACACGTAACATGACAAGCAGTGGCCAGCTCTGGGCAAGGGGCCTGAGCTGCCCTGTGAAGTAGGGCTGTGACACCAACAGCTAGGCAGTAATGGGAAGGCTGCCCTTCCCTCAGCCTAAGACAAAGAGAACTCGGGGTGCACATCAGGAATAGTGCAGGGGGTCTTGGAACACAGATGCAGAAGACCCATGGTATGGTCTCACATGCACCTAAACTAACCTTCACCTCAAAGCCACACACCCCTTGTCCTGCCGCAGCCAGAACAGCATAGTCTTGGAAGGTCATGGCTTCAGGAGGGTCTGTCTGCCTAGGGTTCAGGTCTACCCTACTTAGGAACTCCTCTTCTAGGGGGAGAGGGGTGGGGGTGGACAGGCCACAGTCCCTGCATGTGCAAGCTGCCACCCAGAGCAGACTACAAGTACAGCATGAAGAGAGAAAACGCCTGCAATTGAAACGCTCATCATTTTAATGGTCATTAGCTTCTGGTTGGCTCCGATGGTAAAGTTAAACAAATAGACTTAAAGACCCCCTCACCCAAAACGCGCTCACACCCCTCAGTAGCGTTTGCTTCTGTCAGCATTCCACTGCCCAGTCAGATGTCCACAGCTTCAGACCCCTTCTTGGGTTATGGAAAGCCACATCTTAGTGTAATGTGCTGAAAAACTCCACGGTATACCCATGATCTGTGTTATTTTTTTTAAATAACAATGAATAACCAAATACCTTCCCAGGCTGTGCTGTTTCACAGGGCAAAGCTGTGACTCTGGCAGTCTGAGCACTGTTGTCTTTCTGAGCTGGGCTGTTCTGCATTCTCTCCCTTCTTCCCCGAAATCATACAAGGTAGAGTTCATAAATCTTCTTTACACAGTACACCAGGGCAGCAAGAGCTATTGTGTTGTGCAGTCTCTTTCTGTGCAGGTCGTCCTTCCGGACCAGTACCACAGGAGTGGAGGAGGTGAGTGTGTGCAGAGGCAGACGGGACAGTTTGTAGGCATCATACTCCACTTGGTACTTGCAGCAGGGGTCAAACTGCCAAGAGATCCCATAGAGGGTGCAGCAGGCTAGGCTCAGCACACCAGCCGGCAGGGAGATGTAGTGGGAATACTCCAGGGGTAGGGCCAGCGGGGTGCAGAGGCAAGCAGTGCCTGCCAGCACAGCGGTCTTGTGTAGACAGTTGCCCACAGTGATCCAGCGGGCAGTCTCGTCCCCAATGCGCGTTGGCTCGATCACAATGTACTTGTACTGAGCCTCCAGGGCCTGCTCCAGCTCGTACTCAAACTGGTCTTGGGCGTTCTCCCCATTGTAGATCTCATGTACGATGTAGCAGTCTACGGCAGACAGGCTCACCCTTGGGTGGAAGGGTGAGAAAGATATGACAGTCAGGCAGGAAGCACTAATGTAATGACTCTGCGAACTTACTAAGGTGGCCAGCACAGCAGGGAGCCTGAGCTGGTGGTTCCACACCTGTTTGTGCTTATC